ATTTTGTTTTTCATTTTGCCTCAGAAGGCGCCGGTCACATTAGGCGGGTGGATCGATAGCGCCGCGCAGCCCGAGGACTCGCGGCCGGTGTGGAACAACGTGGTCAGCTTCCTGTGCCTGAACCCGGCGGCCGTGTTCGGCGAACTGAAATCGACGGCCCGCACCATCATCCTCACGTCCGGCACGCTGTCGCCGATGCAGTCGTTCCAGTCCGAGCTCGGCACGCAGTTCCCGATCGCCCTGGAGGCCGGCCACGTCATCAAACCGGACCAGTGTTGGGTGTCGTCGGTGAGCGTCGGTCCAGACGGGACGGACCTCAACGGCCAGTACCGGAACATCAACACGTACAATTACCAAGACGAGATGGGYAAGGTTCTGTGGGACGTGTGCGCCGCCGTTCCGCACGGAGTGCTGTGCTTCATGCCGTCGTACATGCTCATGGAGAAGCTGTACAACCGGTGGCAGGTCACCGGACAACTGGACCGCCTCAGACGGCTCAAGGTGGTCATGTGCGAGCCGCGGCGGGGCGACCAGCTCGAAGAGCTGATGACCAAGTATTATGCGGCCGTTCGGGGGGACGAGGGTGGCCCGACCGGGGCGCTCTTCCTTGCCGTGTACCGCGGCAAAATCAGCGAGGGGCTGGATTTCTCGGACAACAACGCCCGAGCGGTGGTGGCCGTAAGTATTATTGCAGTGATTCGCTCGCTCGAATAGAAAAGAAAAAAAAACACCCGACCTCGCGCAGTTTTAGGATATTCATATTTTATTTGTTTGATATATTAATTGTTTGAAGTGTGTCTATAATATACGAGTGTATTATAATAAATGCAATAATGTCTAGTTTCAAAGCGTACAATATCCATCGTGTTCATTTAATTTTCAGAAAACGGAAAAAACGTATGGCATGAAACATACTTGCAGTATTATAGAGATTGTAATTTTCAGCCTTAACAATACACGGGAGGTTGACTATTTTGTTCGACAATAGTTTTTTTTTTATTCGAATTCAGCGATAAAAATTATATATGCCACGACATATGTCTAATTTTTCGTGAAAATGGATATCGTATACACTTTGAAAATAGACTCCTTCAATTCTTTTCGCATCAAACGCGGTTCAGACGTTTGGAGAAAATTTAAAATATTTGTATGCAAACGACTTATTATATTTTCCTTRTTTTTTGCACTCCTCGTATGWTTGTTGTCTTGTTGTAATTTGCATACTTATAAATACGTATCTGACTCGATGTCAAGTCTAAAACACATCGATCGGCGCTTTCGCTTAATTTTTGGTATATAGGGTAGAAAAACGTATAACGAAAAGCAAAAATCGATGCAAATTTACGCTATACATAMATAATATATGCTGCTATAAAACTGTCTTTTTCCAATATACATTCATGGTGTTGACGTTATACACATCATATCTGYTTGTCTTMGCGGAAATTCGTTTGATATTGTTAATTTCGTACCTACAAATTTTTTTGTTCATTGTTTTAGGTCGGCATTCCGTTTCCGAATTACAAGGAGGCGGCCGTGACGCACAAAAAAGATTACAACGACAAACATCACAAGAACAAAGGACTGTTGCCCGGTTGGGAATGGTATCAGATTCAGGCATACAGAGCCTTAAACCAAGCACTTGGCCGATGCATCAGGCACAGGAATGATTGGGGAGCTATCCTGTTAGTGGATAGCAGATATGAGCAGCCCAAGAACCTATCCGGGTTGTCCAAGTGGATAAGAGGAAGGGTAATGACGATCGTTTGTTTATTTTSATGTTTGTTCGTGTACTTAAAATATATACCAAGTACCAGGGCCGTCTTCAGGTTTTACGAGGCCCCGGGCCCAACAYATTTTGGGGACCTTACAATACCTACTAATTTATGATTTATGATATATAAACTTTTTAACACATTATGCATATTATTTATTAAATATTCTACATATTCTAAAGTGAATTTTTGTTTAAATCTCTGATRCTTTAATATTTATAATAATTTCGAAAAATA